CAAATCTTTGCACCACTTTTTACATACCCAAGAAGATCAGTACCAGGTCTTATATTATAAAGAAAAGATGTTAGCAATAAGATTAATTTGGCTTTTGCTATATTATATCATTCTGCTAACTTTTCAAGTGTGGCTTGAAGTTGCGGTCCACAAGTCTTATAATCTTTTTTGAGAGTTTCAAGAAATGATTCAAAAAATTCTGAGTTATGCCTATTAAATAAAAAAATTTAATTTCTCGGTTTTTTAGTACATATATTGTATTTATATATACTATATATATAATAAAATATATACATAGTAGCTATGGTAATTTGAGTTGTATCAATATCTGACTTCTCTAATTCATGTGTCTTGCCAGATACATTATTTGAACTACTAAATAAATTTTTTTTAATTTAAAATAAATTAATTAATATATACAGTATACTGTATATATAATAAAATACATATATAGTAGCTATGGTAAATTGAGTTATATCAATATTTGATTTCTTTAATTTATGCATCTTATCCAATACATAATTTGAACTATTAAATAAAAAAGTTTTAATTCAATAGTTTTTCAACATATATATAGTACAGATAAGATACATATATAATAGTCATAGTAACTTGAGTTATATCATTCTCTAATTTATATATTTTATCTGATCCATTATTTGAACTACTAAATAAAATTTTAATTCACAGTTTTTTTAAACATATATATTGCATCTATGTATAATAAGATATGCATATATTTGCTATAGTAACTTGAGTCATATCAATATTCGACTTCTCTAATTTATGAGTTTTGTTAAGCATATTATTTGAAATCTTAGATTTATAACTTTTAGGATTATTAGGGCATAATGATACATAAAAAGATGAATCTGCCACAAGTTCTAAATTATATAATTGATAATTAAAATTTATATTATTTAATGTTAGAGATTTTAATATATGAATTTGCCAAATATTGATTTGTTAGTATTCAATAACTAAATCACAAATTACTTATCATGTGCAATATAAGCAATGCGAGCACGATTATTAGGTGTTAATGACAAAAGAAAATTTAAAGATCCAATATGATATTTTGCAGCTACTACACCTTGCTGCTTATATGGTACTCCAGATAATTCTACAAAGCAAGTACATATGCAGAATTCAGTGTTAACTGTGTAAAATAATTTAATGCCTTTTTTTTTACTTGGAACTAGATATTCAGTATCTATCTTAGTTTGTTGAATCTCTGAAGCATCAATTGTATTCCAGCCGGGATATAAAAACCTTCTAGCTATTTGAAGATAACCAGAATGACTATATGCTATACTAAGCAAATAATGTTCATAATACTGTTCTATATTAGTCATAATAAATTGGAACATCTGAACACTATTATATACTTTAGTACGTGAAAATATAATGTTCTTTATTAATTTAAAGCTGTGTTTAACATAGTTGTTAGTATTATTGCCACGTATAAGAAGTCTAAAACAAAATAATAATACCCAGAATTGCTGCCTGTTTCAAAGTGATTTGAAATGTCTTTGTAGTTGTGGGTATATATAGTAATAATTAAGTTATAATCTATTATAGTATCCTATCATCTTAATTTCTGTTTGTGCATATAATATTTTTCACATAATTTTCATTATAGGCATTTTATAATTTTTATCTATAACATGCTTGGAATTATACAACTATCATCAGAAAGATTGAAAGATGTGAAATACACATAATAATCATCTTGATTGTGGCTAGCAATACTCTAAAGCATTGCATTTGTCACTTGAGTTATCAGTCAAAAAAGCTATCGGACAGACATTAGACCCTCAGCCAAAAAAGCGCATTGGGGAGAGAGTTTTTAAAAGATTCAATCCCCTTTTAAGTATTACTTTTAGCTCATCAGATGTTACCAAAAAAACCAAGAGGTAGTGCTTCTGCAATTAGGAATAGTGAAAAAATCAGGTTAAATATTTTAATTTGAATAATTAAATCTGGATTTAAATATATAAGCATTACACCTGTTTTTAATTATTAATAAAAAACTTTTTGTTATCCTTATTTACAATGCAACTTGTGTATAAAAAAGTAATTGATATATTTAATAGCTCAAAAGATACTGAAGCATCAATATAATATATTTTACCTAATTGTTAAATTTTTTATGAATACAGATTATTAAATTATTAACTATGCAAAGAATAAAAGCCTTTTCTGCTTGAGAATCATATTCTTGAAATATAGCATGTCCTTTTCCAGAATTATTATAAGTATTAAC